CGTGTGTAGACTTGAAGTAAATGACACACTTCGAGAAAGTTCCTCTCTCTTCATACTCATATCCGTATGGGTTTTCGGTCTAAAAAACATTGTAATTTTAATCTCTGTGACTCTAGAAAGATGAGACTCAACACACATCTGTAAATTGCACTGGCCCCTGGAATCTTAACATTGTCACATTAAACTTATAGCTAATTGTTGTCCATTCAGTTCATAACGGTTCTGCCTTTTCTAGTAACTTCTCCTCTGTTTCCACGCCAGAGTTCACACTGTTAACAGTGAGACTTTGCAAACATGACCTTAATCTGTGGTTATATAGCTGACTGGCCCATGTTTTTTTTTTTTTTTTTTTTTTTTTTGACAGGCAGAGTGGACAATGAGAGAGAGAGACAGAGAGAAAGATCTTCCTTTTGTTGGTTCACCCCCTAAATGGCCGCTACGGCTGGAGCTATGCTGATCCGAAGTCCGGAGCCAGGTGCTTTCTTCTGGTCTCCCATGCGGGTGCAGGGCCCAAGCACTTGGGCCATCCTCCACTGCCTTTCCAGGCCACAGCAGAGAGCTGGACTGAAGAGGAGCAACCTGGACAGAATCCGGGCCCCGACCGGGACTAGAACCCGGGGTGCCGGCGTCACAGGGGAGGATTAGCCTATGAGCCACGGTGCTGGCCGGGTCTTAAGTCATGATGCTAGTCAGAATCCTTTCCCTGGGAGTTTAAAATTAAGACTAGCAGCGGCTGGCACCATGGCTCACTTGGTTAATACTCCACCTGTGGTGCCTGCATCCCATATGGGTGCTGGGTTCTAGCCCGGCTGCTCCTCTTCCAGTCCAGCTCTCTGCTGTGGCCGGAAGGGCAGTGGAGGATGGCCCAAGTGCTTGGGCCCCTGCACCTGCATGGGAGACCAGGAAGAAGCACCTGGCTCCTGGCTTCAGATCGGTGCAGCGCCAGCCGTAGTGGCCATTTGGGAAGTGAACAACGGAAGGAAGACCTTTCTCTGTCTTCTCACTGTCTATAACTCCCTGTCAAATTAAAAAAAAAAAATAAGGCTAGCAAATTTCAGCATGTAAACGACTGCTCTCAAGAGAGGTGATATAAAATTTCATTCTTTTCCCTTTGCGGAGGGAAAATGGAAGAGAATATGGAGAACTCCCTGGGTTATCTACAGTGCACTAGATCCTGGTACAGTCATGAGTAATACCCTTGGTTTCTGAGACATCTCTGTGTCCTTATAATACATTCCTCTCTAACTTGAAAGAAGCATCTCATTTTCAATGTCATTAATAACTACCTGACATAGGGTTATACAAGCTTAGGTCCCACAAAATGTTAATACCTTATTTTAATTATTCCAATAATATTATTTGGTATTCTTTTGTACTTGTCAAGGTACTGGGGACATAAAATCAGTCCTTGTTCTTCCATATATTACAACCTATGGGGTGGCTTTAGCTTGTGAGACTAACCATTCACTTGTATCTAGAAGCTCACAGTGCAGGGGTATTTCCTCCTAAATGCAACAACTCATGAGTCCATTCTGAGTCAGGCACTCACTCCCTGAACCAGTCAGTTATGCCCAGACTCAGGGCCATGCCAGAATGTGGATTCCTTCAAGTAACAGGTAGCCTGGAGGAAGAAGTGAAGAAATTATCTGGTAGGCAGCTAATCCTATGTATCTACTACAGAATCCCTAAAACAGTTCTAGATGTACTTCCAGATTTACCCTAGACTGGGTACTAGCACAGGTGGGAAAGGGTGGTTGGGGAAAGAAAGTATGGGCCTAGAAGGAAAAGTCTAGCATTATAAAACACCAAGTTTCATAGAATCATGCATAATTATCAACTTTAAAAAAGAAAGTAACTTACTAAATATTCTCCTGGGAAGTAAATCTTACAAAAAATTACCTTTTTTAAGTCTGTGTAGCCACTGACATATATTTCTACTTGTGTGTAATCATAATTATACACACATGTATATATTGTCATATATGTGCATATGTGTGCTTATTGATTCTTTTTCAGAGGGTGTCTTGACTATCCCTTATCTCTTTTCTGTTTTTGAACACTGCCTCCCCCTCACTTTCTACCAACCAACCTGGCCACAAAACAATAGATACTAATAGCTTAGTATATATCCCTCCATTAATACATATGCATATCCAAGTTTTTTGGTTAATGGCTTATTAAAATGAGATTTTGCTTTTTTCACTCACTAGTACTCACAGAAATTCTCCTAACTTATTCAGGCCTTACATTTTTAATGACTTAATATTACATATGTAGATGTTCCAGAATCATTTAGTCATTTCTTACTGGGTATTTCAAGCTTTTGCCACAGCAAACATTGTAGCAATAAAATGTCTAAGTCTATACAGACTGGTGCTTTTATTTCTACAGGAGCGGTCTCTCTGCATCTTTATGGTCATGGCGAGGAGACAGCAACTTTCCTGGATAAGTCCAACTCAGTGGCATGGTTTTTGAAGTTGGTCTTGGGACTTCTACTAAATTCTATCTCCCAACTCTACTAATGAGTTTTGTGAGCAAAGAAATCGTCTATTTGAACAGCTAGAGAATATTCTGTCTACCACTAAAAATCCCAGCTAATCAAAAGTATTTTAATCACGGACAGTAACAATATCTTGAATAAAGCACACCCTGGATATGCATTAGGGGGAAGCTGGATTGGAAGCAGAGTAACCAAGACCTGAACCAGCACTTCAATATACGGAATGTGGGCTTCCTAAGCTTTGGCCTAGCACACTGTGCCACAATTTCTACCTCAAGCCAATGCTTTTAAAAACTATCTATATGGAGAATCTCATTCGATAGCCACCAGAAAGGTTGGTTTGTACACTTCTGCTGCATCAGAAATGGAGCAGCCAGCACTTGAACCAGTGCCCATATGGGATGCTGGTGCACAGGCATACACCACAACACTAGCCCCTCTGCCCTGTTCCCTTTATATTTTTTTCTGAAGCTTTCACATTTAAAAGTAATTATTGGAAATATAAAGTATTTAAAAATAATAGTTGGGAATATAAATAAAACCAAAACCAAACAGTGCATCTATTAAATCATTTATTTCAACACAAGCATCGTTTTAAATTTACACTGTCTTGCAACACATATTTCCTAACTGAAGAACAAGTCTGAGAATAATAACATAAAGAGGATTATTTGACAAAGTTTTAACAAAAGCTGCTTATTGCTTCAGAAACACAGAACTGACAGTGAAGACAGAGCCATAAAGTGGCAACACATTACACCTTCTGGAAAGTAAAATACCGTACATATTTACAATGTGCATTAAGTAGAATATTCTGAAGCATTGTTATTAACAATACACTCTCAGCAATAAGGCCTTTGAAACTCTGGCATTCGATGGAAGATACACCCATCCTTCCCACAACCTCAAAGACTTTCTTTCATCACCTCTAGTGCATATATTTACCTCCTTCATTAGTTGTCACCAAGGAGAACTTTGTTAGTAGTAACATCCATGTGTTTACAGTGTAAGGGTAAATCTCAATTTTTTTTTTTTTTTTTTTTTTTTTAATTTGAGAGGCAGAGAGGGAGAGAGAGAAACACAGATAAAATGCTCTCACCACAGGTCACTCCCAAATGCTCACAACAGACCGTTGCTGAGGGTCAAATCCAAGAATCAAGGCAGGTTTTCCCATGTGGGTGACAGGAACCCAATTATGTGAACCATCACCAGCTCTCCCAGGCTCTGCATTAGCAGGAGGCAGGAGCAGAAGGTAGGCATCGAACCCAGGCACTCCAATATGGGAAGGTGGTGTCTTACCTGTTGCTTAGCCAACTACCCCAAATGCCTGCCCCTAAGTTCTGTTTTAAATGGACTTAATAGTACAAAACTTTAGGTTACAGAAGTCTAAATATCTAAACAAGTTAATAATTTACACAGTAGTTATTAGTATCAATTCCCTCGTGATTTACTCCACTTACATATTTATTTTAATATTGATTATATCTTTCAGAAAACAAAGTTGTAAATATAAAAATGACCATAATAAACCCCAACTATATCAAAAAGAACTTTAAAAAGCAGCAGGTTTGTATGTTTAAAATACATAGAAATTTGCTATACTTCTTCAACGAAGTGCTTTATAAAAATATAAAACTGTTAGAAGGTGCTACTTTTATGGAATTGGTTTTCTTGATTCTTGAGCCAGACCAACAAGCAAAGATTAAAATAGTGCAACTGAGTAATGGCCATCAATCACCTTTGAATTCAGACAGTAGAGCCCAGTGGCAGAAGGCCCAGCTCCAGAGCAGTTGTTTATCCCTACCTTAACATAACCTGTGACATAGCCTGAACTCACTGCAAACTCCATTCACTTTTTGTAGCATACCTTTAGACTCAGAGTATTTACTGAAATAAACTTGTAAGCTGGTCATTTTAAAAATCAAGAATTTTAATATTAAAATATTAACTGAATATATTAAAATGACATAGAAAACATAGATTAGTATACAGAAATTTTGACTAATCAGATAAATAGAAAAAAGAATTTATGATCATACATTAGACAAAGAATAAATATCATTTGTTCTTCATCATATATTATGGATCACCTGTGTCCCCTAAAAGTTCATATGTTGGAAAGTTAATCCCCTAATTCATATGTTAATGGTATTAGCATCAGGAGGGCAGCTTTGTAAGAGGAAGACTCCAGCAAAGCACTTGCAAGGTCTCACCCTGTGATACCCTGCTCAAGGTTATGATACACAAGAAGGCCCTCATCAGATGTCAGGCCACACTCTTGAACGTTCAAAACCTCCAGAATGATGAAACAAATAACTTCCTTTTCTTTGTAAATCACCTGGTCTCAGGGATTTTGTTATAGCAACAGATACCTAAGACACCCTACACATTTGAATTGAAAAGTCAGAACATTGATCTTGCTGAGTCTGAGACTGGTCAGACCTTGAAGTATAAAAGCAGTGGGCAGATTGAAGGAACGCTTTCACATTAGTTACCTCACATTCATTAGCTTGTGGATTTCCTGGGAGCAACGTAATCTAGCTCTGGGAGTTTGTTTCTAGACAAGGCAATGATTAGAGGATGATAATAATAGTCTGTTATTACTGTTCCTTGCCTTTCTGTCAGTTCCAGATCCTATATACTTCACCACACCTATCATTATTCTTAATTTATATGAATGAAACAGAGTAGGTGAGAAAAATGGACCATAGGATTATGTCAGGAAGCAAAAATAAAACAAATGAGATAAAACCCATTTGTATTGCTCATCCTACTATTGAGATTCATGATTGCATGTTGTCTGTGGTTCTAGCAAATTATCTTTCCTGCCATTTATTGATCTTTGTCCTGAATTAGGAGAGAAATTGCCAGGTATTCTACATGGGAACTAAAAAATTAGGAAATTCAAATTATCAGTGGCTATCAGAAGTGATTTATTCTTAATAAATTATTGAAAAAAAATGATCAGTGACTGGCTCCAGGGAGCTCTGTGTTAGAATTTCCTGAAGGTTTGATAGATGATTCTTTAGAAGAGGCTGTAAATCTCGGAGTGTCAGATCTGGACTGACAGCATTTTAGGGGCTTGGCTAGGGTTCTCATTTTGTACTGGACTAAAATGCCCCACCTGGGGGCCAGCACTGTGGCATAATAGGTTAAGCCTTTGCCTGCAGTGCCAGCATCCAATATGAGCACCAGTTCCTGTGCTGGCTGCTCTTCTTCCAATCTAGCTCTCTGTTGTGGCCTTGGAAAGCAGTGGAATGTGGTCCAAGTGCTTGAGCCCCTGCATCCACACGGGAGACCTGGAAGAAGCTCCTGGCTCCTGGCTTTGGATTGGCCCAGTTCTGGCCATCGCAGCCATTTGGGGAGTGAGTCAGAACCAGAGGATGGAAGACCTCTCTGTCTCTCCCCTTCTCTGTCTGTAACTCTCAAATCAATAAATCTGTAAAAACAAACAAACAAAAAACCCACCTGAAAAGAAGTGTTCTAACCTGCAAATAAAAAATTTGGGAAATGGGTGGTTCTGGGAAACCGGGAAGAACAGTTGCTGAAAGGACTACAGTGCAGGACAGTCTCATGAAGAAATGTTACTTATTTCTGTCCTTCAGTTCTGTTCCTGAGAAGAAAGTCTATGGCCAAATCATTGCCTCTATCATTGGGTGGCATGGAGGATGTCCTTGTCTTGATTAAAATTCAGCCCTCAATAATTCAGCCAATCCCCACGAACTGTTGTAGAGGAATTTCTAGGAGTGCTAAGAGGGCTTCAGCCCCTCATCTATAACCTCATGTGCTTTAAACATGCGGCTCCTGGACTCCACTATGGATATAACCGGACGCCCTCACAAAAACTCTTTTATCTTTGTTTCAAAAAATAAAAGCAGTAACTTCCTAAATGTTGATGAATCAAGCAGATGATAAAGTTTACTCCATTGTTGCTATCCCCACATTTCATTTAATATCGCGAGTACAGGGTGCGGACAGGAAAGGTAAATGCAATGTGGCAGCTGTGCTGGGTGACTAATAAATTTTGTATGTGCGGGGGATATCATAAGCAAAAATCATAATGAAGATGTAGAAAAGTAGGGAGAAAGTAAAGTCAAAGCCAAAATAATGCAGTGCATTAGAGATTTAAACAAGTGCAGGAAGGCAGGCCAAGAACATATACAAAGGGAGGAGAGAAATGAGAATCATTCAAATCAGGAATTCACTGTTCTGTAAGTGAGGAAGTATATATACAGGATGTGGAAGGCAGAAAGGGAATTTGGGTTATTTCAGTGCAGACATTGCCCAGACTAGATATTTTATCTCTGTCTTCTCATGGGCATACATTTTTATACTAGTTCCACGATAGACTTTTGGTGAAAATCTTATGCAGTTTATTGAGAAAATCTCACAGTTCTGATTCTTTGTCATTTTCATCTAGGTAGTATTCATCATCTGTGGTCGTGTCGGTGTCACAGTCTGAATCTACTGGGTCCTCCTCATAGATATTAAGTGGCTTACTTGGGGACAAGTCACCTTCGGGCACCTGACTCCTAGGGGAATTCGAGCTTAAAGAATCTGGTGGTGTGGGAGAGTTGACTACATCGTCTTTCAGGAAGCCAGGGTTCTTAAGAAAACTTGGTTTCCATAATCTTCCTTGTGTGAGTGACCTCTTTACATTCTCCAAGAAAGCCAACTGTTGTTCTTTCCCAAAAATCCCATAGTCGATAGGTCTGGATATAGAGGTTGTGGACCTGGGGCCTGTTTTTGTCCTGTCACCATACAAAGCCCAATTTTCATTTTCATCACAGGAGGGAAGTTCAGAAAATGACTTGAATCTTCGACTGTACCCATTGTCAACAGAGAATTCATTCCCGAGGGTCAGTCGACTCAGGGCATCGTCAACAGAGGTGCTTTCGGAAAAATGGCGCTCCCTGACTTTCGGAGGCTGACTTTTGCATAGCTTATCACCATGCACATTGATGCTTTTCAAACTCTTTGAACGATAGAGGTGTGGCTCAGTCCCCGTTTCTGGTGATGAAAGATTCCTTTGTCGTTGCTGACAGCTGGCCAGAGGGATGCTTCCTGTCGATTTCCAGGCGGGCTCCAGTGGGAAAGGAGAGCTGAGTCTCCTCTGCTGGGTGGAGCAGCCTGTGACCCTGAGGCTGGTGAACGGGAGCTGCGCTGGGACCGCTGACTCTACTTCCAAAATCCGAGCTGCTGCTGCTGCTTTAGAATCCTCATGCTTCGGTGGAGACGCTGAGATACTCTTAAACTCATTCTGAAGTACTTGTGAAATGCTGGTAGATCTCTGATCACTAGGGTATGTAGAAGGTTCGCTGGTGACTTTTACGGTGACCTGGACAGGGTTCTCAGATTTCTCCTCATTCAGCCCAGCCTTACTCAGCCTGCTTTCACCTGTGGAATCCGTGCACTTTGGAGAAGAATCAGGGAACAGCCGATTATGTTCTGAGGTGCTACGGGATAAACAGCCAAAGCCCGGCCTGCTCCCACTCTGGGGGAAGATGGTAGCTACAAGGCTTCTATGACTTAAATCTTGAGCTGGGGAATTTCTGTTTGCTTTAGACAATTCTGCCAATCTGTGTTTAACCGAAGATCTCTGTCCCCCTTTCTCAAGGTCATCCATGTCGGTTTTGTTTTTTTTATTTCCTCCATGAAGTGAAGGTTGATCCCTTTTGTGCAATGCATCTTCAGCCTTCCTGCAGTCTGTTATGCTATCCTCCTGCCCCTCGAGGGGTAACTCTCTCAGTTTAGACTGCAGACTCTTTAAATCCGTTTTATCTGAGTGAGTGTCCCCAGCAAGCTGTAATTTATGCAGTGCTGGTGTAGGAGCGAAGGCTTGGCCTTGTGACTCACAGGGGGCTTTATCAGTCATGTTTTGATTACCTGTTCTGATTTCTCTGACTTCCCTAGGCTCTGAGCCAGTGGGGCTATCATCTATGGCCGTGGCTGTGTGCTCTTTCTCAGGACAGTTCCCACTCCCAGTAGCTGTAATGGCTACACCACTACCTGCACATTCTCCAGAACTTCTTCTGGCTTGGGAATTTTCAATGTTATATTGTGAACAGGCTGAGAGATCCCTGTCACCTGTATTAATGGACTCTTGACAATTTTCAGATTTTTCTTCTGTAACTCTTTTTCCCTGGAGCATTACTGACGTATGCAGGGTTTCATTTTGCAATGTTCCTCCTCTCTCTATCCTACTTTGAACATCACCTAGAGGAGTTTTAGCTAATTTATCTGGGAGAATCTCTCTGGTTGTACATTCTCTAAGAGAAACATTTGCCTCGGTGGAAGCCATTTCCTGTAAGGTAGGCTCTGCGGGCCTCCTATCTGGTAATTGTGAGACAGACACATTTTCAGTGGGATGAGGAAGGCAGTGGCTGTTCTGAGCAGAGCTGACCGGCATGTTTGGGTCTTCACCCGAAGGTGTTCCTGGCTGCTCTCGTGTAGAATAATCTAGTGTGTCTTTTTCTAAAGCACTGGGAGATGTTTCAGTCCCCACTTGAGGTGAGTCTATGAGCGAATCAGCATTTTGTGTGAACTGTTGAAGGAGGTTACAGAATTTTTTGCTGGGTTTCCTTGGTAGAGTGTAATAGACCGAGACCACCTCGAGACACTTTACATGATCTTCGTCTCCAGAAACAGAGAATATACTAGTAGTTTTCAATCTATGTAACGTTTTCCCACCTTCACTTCCTGGCACATCTGAACAGAAAGGTAAAGGGTCTTCCTTTGAAAGGGAAAATGTGCTTGTCCTGGAGGCGGGAATTCCGTCAGCGGCGTCTGCGCATCCGTGCGCGTATTCCTTTGCGAGGTGTCTTTGGGTTAAGAAGGAATCTCGAGCGGATGAGCCTCTGTCGAGAGGGTTCACGATTCTCCCCCAGGGTCCTGGGCTTACAGCACGGGCACTTCTGTCTGAGACGGGCGATTTTCTCCCTTCGCCTCTGCCAGGTGAGGCGCATGGCTCTGCGGAGGGACAGGAAACAGCCCTCCTGATGAGGAACGGAAGCGGCCCTTTCCTCACGGAAGCAGATCGAAGGGTTTTCATATTCGTCTTCCTCTCCGTGGCTCCAGGCGCTGCTGCGGCTGAGTCAGAGAGCATTTTGGCACATTCACCTCCTGACTCAGGGGACCTGGGACTGAGTGGGCTGAATGTGTGCTTCCCTTTTGGGTCTGCCACATTATTTCTGACTTGAAATGGAAGGGGTCCATTCCTAATTGAAGTAGCCAGCATCTTACTTTCCGACTGCCTACTATTTATTAAGGTGCTGGCTGATTTTCTTGGCAAGGTACAATAAATTGTGCCAAGCTCAGAAGCTCTGGAATTCCCTTGCTTCTTCTCAGTGAAGCTACCATTGTCATTCGAGGGTACTGATCTACTTTCTGCTTTGCTTAACTTTTCAATACAGGATATGTGGTGTCTTACTTTTCCTTTTCCCTTTCCATTCCTGAAAGGAGAGTATTTGACAGCATCAGCCACTTCGTCATGGACAGGCCCATGACCATCATTATGTCTTTGGTTTTCTGAGGAACTTACAGAAAGCTGATTATTTTGGTTCTTGCTGGCACTGTCTTTTTCTTCGGTTTCTCCCAGAGACAGATCTCTGTCTGAAGGACTTCTCTTGGAGGACACTGTAGTAGAAGGACTCGCCAGAGCATCGGGGAAAGAATGACTTGGTGGGGAGGAATCTGGTGACGCACCTGTTGCCAAACCTAAAGAATCACAGGACACACTGTGCTCAGCAGCCAACCTGCTATCATCGGTAGAATCAGTGGTAGTACGTGGTTCTCCCTCAGTATCTAAGATAACAGGCTCCACTGGAGACTGTGTGTTTTGATTGTCCACAGGTCCAGAGCTCCAGTGGTTATTTTTAATAATGTTTGAAATATCTTCATGACTAACTTGATTTGGGTTAGGCAAAGATGGTGGAACTCTGCTCTCCCGGATGAAAGGTGGGGAAGTTGCTGAGCCAAGATTTCTGTTCCCAGTACAACTCTTCTCTTTATGAAGTTCATTTGCTTTATCTGTATTGGATACATAATTTTTGGAGGTATCTTTCTTGGAAAAGATTCTGGGTACCCTTTTTGAACTTACTGTGGTAGGTGCATTGAAATAAAACCTGTCACTCTTGGTGGAGTCCCGGGAGACAGGATTTAGAAACTCAGGTAAAGCGTCAGAGCTCACGGTCTGTGAAACAGGTTGGGATACTTCACCCATCATGTTTGTCTGGTCCATCTTGTTCAGTTGTTGATCTTCTGAAATAGAGTCATTCATGTTTTTCTCATTATTCACCAAAGCATTGGCCGGGCTTCCTAGCAGAGAATCAGCTGAATCATGATTGGTTATACTGACTTCTACAAGGCTTCTCTTTGGAAGAGAGACAGGCTTACCGGGAATCATCTTCTGCACAGTGACTGTGCGATTCTGAAAGTAGGGACTCTGAGAATTCCCTTTATCATCGGAAATCTGGGGGAAGAAAGTTTTGAAGGGGGATGCTTGAATCTGAGTAGTTCCAAATGAGTAAGGTTCTTTGCTGACATTCTGCTTATAGTCTAACCCACCAGATTTGATGTGATGGCTTGAGTCAGTCTTGCTGCAAACATCTAGTGCACCAAAATGAGTAGTAGACTGGTTTCCATGACCTTGTGTTATCTCCATGCTCTCCAGTGAGGCCATTTGGAAATCAGACTGCCAGGAATGGGGTCCTTCTTGGCTTCTGGAGACATTTGTCCCAGAACCGGGAGAAAGTGATCCCCAGGGTGGAGAAGGGGCACTGTGGCTGTGAACAGCTGATGCAGCATTTGCTTCCATGAAAATCATTTCAAAGTCTCTGTCAGATGAACTGAATAGTTTCCTCCTTTGATGAAAGTCAGACCATGAAGAATGTTCTGCCTGTTGGTCCCAAAAAGGACCTTGTCCAAATCTCTGTTCTCTTCTTTGTCCAAAGGAATTGCTAAAGAAAGACCTAGCAAATGGGCTGTCTTCATGGTAGAATGGCATATTCTCTGAGTTCTCAAATGTGTCAGGACTCATTGCATTATCCATAGGGGCATTGAAACCAATACTTTGGCAAACATTCTGTGAATGGTATAGTTCATAACTTCTATTCTCCTGAAAACAGCTGGGATATATATACTCATCAGTAGGGTCAATTTCCATTGGTGACAGTGTCCCCAGGAACTCTCCTTGGTTCTGCCCATCTCTGGAAGAATCTGATCTATTCCATATGATAGATGATAGAGGAGTTCGCTTTGGGCTCTGCTGGGGGCATGGTGGTAGAAACCCCCCTTTTTTCTCAGTTGTGGCTGGAGAATGTAAGCTTCTTGCTGTGAAATGCCTTGTGGCTAGTGAGGCTGATCGTTGCCTGCTGTCGAAACACAGGGAAGTACTACCGAAAGTATTCTTCTGCACATAATCCTCTTTTAAGACTCTGGGCTCCCTTGTCCTGTACATATCATAAATTGTTCTTGTCCTAGGAGAAAATGTTTTAAAACCTTCCCTAGGAGTTCCTGGTCTTAGGATGTCATAGATAGACATATTGGAAGTCTCATTATAGCGATTTTTGTGCTTTCCTGAGATATTACCATGTGTGTTCTCACTGGAGTAAAAATGGTTGAATTGTGTTCTTGGTCCACAGTTGAGGGGTATTCTGGTACTTAGTGAGCTTGCAGATTGTTCCTGAGCCAGTTTGCTATCCAAGTCATCTAAAACTAAAAGGAGAATATGAATCATTTTTTGGCATGTGATTTCAGTTTAATAATAATTTGAATTATTGACGGCCCTATTCAAGAAAACATAATCACTTATCATATTTTACTTTTATATTATCATAAATGTGATGACACCAATTCTGATTTTGTTTTTAAGACAATTTGACTTTTATAAACTTGTAATAGAAGTTTCTTTTTCATATATTTTAAAATCATACTTTTTTCAAAGTAAACCTTCCACAATGCTTTAAGGACACACATGTAAAGTTATATATTTTTTCTAACTGAATTTGAATCATAATTTCTTTTAGTGCATTTAAAGTTTATTGCATTTTGTAAGATATGGACAAGTGATAAAAGACAACTTATAATATATATTGCCAAAATGGCTCCACCATTGGATAATCAGATAACCATGGTATTATTTATCTGTGACTTTCTGTTTCTTTCATGTCTGCAAGTTGCTGTAATATTTTCACCATCTGGGATTGTTATAGAAATGATAGTCTATAGATAAGAAAGGATATCTCAGTTGTACTTCTGAGAGAATAGCATTATCACCAAAAGTTTAGTAATTAAATTATAAATATACTTAGATGGATGGATCATAGCCATAATTAAATGTTCTACATAATATTATTAAATGATGTTCTAATGGTAGACCTATTAGCCTATAATATATCATTTTATCTTGTGGTAGGCACAGATCTATCTCACATAGTATTTCAAGTTTAGTAATATTAATATTCTCATTTTATAATGAGGAAACAGATGCTAAAGTTGCCAAAGTCACATAGCATTGGGACTGGAGCCCAGGAACTCTATGTCCTGAATCCATGCACACAACCAGTGTGTAATGCAGTCTCTGGGATAGGAAAGCTCCATTTTCATTTTTTGCTCTTTATGAACCACAAGGATGATTTCGTGGCAAGATGAGCTCAGTGTTATAAGGATGTGAAGTTGCTGTTGTTAAACAAAGATTACTTTATCTAGTAGAAAGGTCACAGGCTGGTGTCCAAGTCAGGACCTGGAGGCCTCTTTACAGTAGGAGCCAAGCTAAGACGTAGGGCTCAGGCTCTCTGACCACGGCTCCATGATCTCAGACAAGTCATGACATATCTTCAGTGACATGGTTGTGGTTCCTCTGAGTTGTCTTTATTTAACCTTATTTGGCACCTTTCCTCAATAAAAACCTGTTACAGTTTGAATAGCATCATAATCTCTCACAGTTTTAGATTGTCTAAGACCTACCTTATAAAGGACACTTTTCATCATATTCATATTATAACAAACACAAATAGATTATGTTTTTATTAATGTTTGCTAGTGAAAATAAAATCTGGATGAGGAACGAGTTACAATGTTATTTAAATTTCAGAAGAAGTTTTTGGTTATAAAATCTTCCTGAATTACATAAAACTGTGTACTCTCCTGGATAATTAAAATTTTGACCTTAACTGTACAATGATAGGGACAGTGAGACAGATCAGTAGCTGGGTGAATGTGAGTGAGATATTTTTATGGTGTACCAACTACACTAGAACAGGTGCCAAAATATTTCTTAAAAATTTTTTGGGGGCCAGCGCCATGGCTCACTTGGTTAATCCTCTGCCTGCGGTGCCGGCATCCCATATGGGTGCCGGGTTCTAGTCCTCGTTGCTCCTCTTCCAGTCCAGCTCTCTACTGTGGCCCTGGAGGACAGTGGAGGATGGCCCAAGTGCTTGGGGCCCTGCACTGGCATGGGAGACCAGGAAGAGACATTTGGCTCCTGGCTTTGGATCAGCGCGCAGCACCGGCCATTGCAGCCATTTGGGGAGTGAGCCAATGGAGGGAAGACCTTTCTCTCTGTCTCTCTCTCTCATTGTCTATAACTCTACCTGTCAAATAAAAAAGTAAAATAAAACAAAAAATAATTTTTTTTAATTTACTTTCGTTTTATTTGAAAGGCAGAGAAAAACAGAGACAGAGATCTTCCATCTACTAGTTCAGTTTCCAAATGCCTGTAACAGACAGGGCTGGGTCAGCCCTATGCCAAACCTAGAACTCAATCTGGGTCTCCCACGTAGGTAGTAAGGACCAAGGTACCTGAGCCATCATCTGCTACTTCCCAAGATGTGCATCAACAGCAACATGGATTGGAAGCAGAGGACTTGGGACTTGAACCAGTCACTCCACTGTGGGATATGTGAGTCTCAAGTGGCATCCTAACTGCTGGGCCAAACACTTGCCCATGCTAAGGGAGTTCTGAAATCTGTTCTGGATTTCCTATTCTATTTAATTTTAAGTTGGTGCTTTTAAGTTTTCATAGCCAGCAAAAAACTAATCTTGAGCACTAAGGATCCTAACTAAGAAATTATTTAGGGAATCATTCTGCTGATGTTTTAATGAAAAATAATTTATTTATATCTAGTCTCTGAAAAATATATTCCCTATATCCACCATAAAATAATAAAGAGCAATGTCAAAGTATAAGGCAGGGCAAAAAAAAAAAAAAAAATCTACCAGAGCCGGTGTCATGGCACAGTGGGTTAAGCTGCAGCCTGTGATGCCAGCATCCCATATAGGCACCAGTTGAGTTCTGGCTGCTCCACTTCTGATCTAGCTAATGGCCTGAGAAAAGCAGCCCAAGTGTTGGGCCCCTTCCACTCAGATGGGCATGGAAGAAGTTCCTGGCTCCTGGCTTTGGTCTGGTCTAGCCCCAGACATTGAAGCCACCTAGGGACTGAACCAGTGGATGGAAGATCTCTCTCTCTCTCTTTCTCTCTCTCTCTCTCTCTCTAATTCTCTAACTCTCTCTCTCCCCCTCTCTATGTATATCTCTGACTTTCAAATAAATAAATAAATAAATAAATCCTTAAAAAGGAAAAAAGAAAACCTGTGTAAGTGCAAATCTCTCTTTAAAACATTTGTAACAAAATCTCTTTGTTGCCTGTTCCCCCCGCCCCCCCCCCCCGCCCTGTTGCTCTGTTGGGACCAGGGAACCTCGCCCAGCAGCGGAACCCCAATAAAAGCCTGTGAATTAAAAAAAAAATCTCTTTGCTCTTCAGTCTCCCTTTCAATCTACTTATGTTTTTTTCCTTTAAAGTTTTTGGTTGACTACAAAAGCAAAACATGGTTGGAAGAGAAAATACAGGAAAGTATACCAAAAAGGTAGAATCACCTGGAATCCTATCCAGAGATAAGTACTTATAACATCCCTGTGAAATTAAATTAAGGGTTAAGCTGTCGCCTGCCACACTGGCATCCCATAGGAGTGGTTTTGAGTCCCAGCTTCTCCATTTCTGATCCAGCTCCTTGCTAATGGCCCAGGAAAGTAGAAAATGGCCCAAGTTTGGGGGCTAGAACTGTGGTGCAGCGAGTTAAAGCCCTGGCCTGAAGCGCTGGCATTCCATGTGGGTGCTGGTTCTGGTCCTGGCTGCTCCTCTTCTGATCCAGCTCTCTGCTGTGGCCTGGGATAGCAGTGGGGGATGGCCTAAGTGCTTGGGCCCCTGCTCCTGCCTCCTGGCTTCAGATCAGCTCAGCTACGGCTGTTGTGGCCATCTGGGGAGTGAACCAGCAGATGGAAGACCTCTCTCTCTCTGTCTCTACCTCACTCTGTAACTCTTCTTTCAAATAAATAAAATAAATCTTAAAAAAAGAAAAGAAAAGAAAAGAAAGAAAATGGCCCAAGTAACTGGACTCCTGCATACACATGGGAGTTCCTGGCTCCTGGCTTTGGTCTGACCCAGCCATTTGGGGAGTGAATCAGTGGGTGGAAGATCTGTCTCTTGTTCTCTCTCCTCTCTCTTTCTTTGTAACTCTGCCTTTCAAATAAATAAATACATTTTAAAATTAATTACTCAAAGTCCCTTAGGATCCATAATCAATAATGCTTTTTTTACTCACTACTCTCAAAAGCAAGCCAATTCCTGTTCTGATTCTCTTCTTTATTTTTAGAGAGGTCAAGCCTGTCTTTTATTTATTTTTTTTCCCTACTGCATAAATAGTAGCTTTCCTCTACAAGCAAAACCTTCATTTCAGGACAGAGGTTTTCTTTCTGGTGGCTGCCGGGAGCCATCTCACGGATCTCGCCGAGGGAAGCTCCAGGGACCTGACTTTGAACTGACTCTTTGGCTCTCTTACCTGACCCTCACCAGAGGGTGGAAGGGGCTTTCGCTTTCTTAAGGTGAAGCTGGTGGATGCCTGAACTTTTCCAACGGTCATGTTTATTTTGAGGCAGAGCAACCCACATAAAAGTGAACTTTGATTATATAAAAATAAGGTACATGTTCATGAGGTACTTTTGGAGTCTGTTTCAGTTTTTATTGTTATCTGTTATACAAGGTTAATTGTTTAACAACAATTAGATTTCATCACAGTGCATTTATGTCCTAATTGGGAACAATGAAAGTCTACATAAACAGCAAACTTTATAGATGTATTTCCTACAGATGCATTTTCTTTTTACCTGAGGTTAAACTTTAAACATTATTACTCGTCCATACATATATCAGTCCTGGATCTGAGACTATTTGCTTTGATTATATTTAATTGTAAAGTTCTTTAATTGTGTTAATAGCATATATCAACATCTTCTTCAGATAAGGTAAACAAGAGGACTTCAAAAATAAAATATAGGGCTTAATATGTTGTTGAGCAGTTTAATACGAACTGTAATTATCATTTGCTTCCTTTTAGTATCAGGATTTGCAAAAATGATTTAATGCACAGACTTACCTTGGAAGAACTCGTTCTCCAGGACTGAAATATCCCATGGAGGAGGAATGGCACCGCCCTCTCTCATGACTGCTGGGTTGGGGACAAAAGCACGGTCAACAGGTTGATTTTCCAGGGGTGAATTGACTATTTTTGCCTGTTAATTTAAAAGTAGAAGACATGAGATTATTTCTAGACATTCTTGAACCAGAGTATTCACATGTTCCCACAAGAATGTCTCAAGCTTAAAAGCTCTTGTCTAAGGATTACAAATCAGTTTTCCTAACCTATAATTTATTTACTTCTCAACTTAAAAAGTTTCCTTATTTTTTCCATTTGCAACTTATGGAGGTCTTCTCTGTGCCCTTGCCCTACATTAATTTTTTTGATCATCTGTCATCAGGCAAGATACTGAGCCTCTCTCTGACAAAGCTTCCTGCCAGTTTACACTGCACAGCACAGGCTTTATTTTTTTTTTCTTTTTAAAAAGATTTATTTCTTTATTTGAAAGTCAGAGTTACACAGAGAGAGAAGGAGAGACAGAGAGAGAGAGAGAGAGAGAGGTCTTCCATCTGCTGGTTCACTCCTCAATTGGCCGCAATGGCCAGAATGCACCGATCTGAAGCCAGAAGCCAGGAGTTTCCTCTGGGTCTTCCATGTGGGTGCAGGGGCCCAAGGACTTGAACCACCCTCTACTGCTTTCCCGGGCCACAGCAGAGAGCTGGATGGGAAGAGGAGCAGCCGGCGCCCATAAGGGATGCTGGCACTGCAGATGATGGCCTCACCCACACTATGCCACAGCGTCAGCCCCAACACAAGACATGCTAAGGGAAGACTTCTAAGTGACAGGAAACTGACCTCTGTTGAGTTGGCAGTGTTGTCTATAAGGACCCAATGGGCCAGGATTTTGGATATCCTAACATTGTGCTTATTCTATCAGGATCCTGTTAGCTGAAGCTTATGACCTTGATGGACTTAGAATACCCCGTGTTTCTATCCAGAGATCATTTAGAATGCCAATTTCCCCTATCACCACCACCATAAGGAGTTGATTGAATACTTCTGAAACAAATGGACTGAAAGTATTTTTCTTCCTAGGCCGTCGCTAGTTTTAAAAGGCTTAGGAAAATGATACAGAACTAATTTACTTGCTTAAATAGCAAATGTCTACCGATTTCTTCAAATCCAGTCATTGCCCTACTTTCAAGCTTTAATTTGCCTTCATAACCTCAGGGGAATTATCCACTCCCACACTTTCACTCTCTTTTGCCAAAACTCTGTTTGCATTTCCTCTGTCAAACTGGCTCAGTCACTCATGACTCCACCTTAAATCACCCTGCACTTGCCCTTGAACAAGGCTGGCCACCTCCCTTTTAGTCTCTTTAGCTTCAGCTCCTGATGCTGCCCAGGCTCTGACTTCAAATCCCTCTGCTCAAGTTTCCCCTTTCTCTCTGGTGTTCACTGTCAGGTTTCATCTCCTCTCCGATGCCCAAGATCATCTAACCTTTCTTTCTTTTTTTTTAATCTTTTTTTTTTTTTTCCATCCGATGGTTCACTCGCCATTTGGCTGCTATGGCCAGAATGCACTGATCCGAAGCCAGGAGCCAGGAGCTTCCTCTGGGTCTCCCACATGGGTGCAGGGGCCCAAGGACTTGGGCCATCTTCTACTGCTATCCCAGGCCATAGCAGAGAGCTGGATCAGAAGAGGAGCAGCCTGGACTAGAACCGGCACCCATATGAGATGTTGGCGCTTCAGGCCAGGACGGTAACCCGCTGTGCCACAGCACTGGCCCCAATCAATTGTGTTTTGCAAGCAAAATTTTGTCAAATCCTTTTCCAACTTCCATATAAGCCTTTCCTCCTGTCTTCCTGCCAGTGTCCTGAACTCCAAGCTCACTGCTCAGTTTCCCCAAATCCTTTTTCTCCGCTGCTTCTCTTGGAAAACAGCAACTCATCCTTGAAAGTCCAGTTTATATATCACCATCTCTGTGAGCCTAACCCCAGCAGAGCTGCTCTCACGGTATTTTAGGCACCCCGATACAGCGCCTTCCATGTCAGGCTCGGTGCTGCCTTCCCACTGAGACTTTACTGTACTCTTCTCCCTTCCTCCCACCACAAAGTTCAGTCTCCTCTCTGATCTAGGAAACCAAGGGTTCAAAGATACACGAACTGAGGCCCTGGCAGTGGGCCAACCTCTAAAATGCCAAAGAAAAAACAGTATTTGCCTTTTTATCACTGGCACCTAGTATGGTGTCTAGCATATAAGAGGTGACTAATATCCAATCCTATTCTCCCAATAACATTTCTCTCTTCTGGACTTCTCTAAAACATTTTTGTGTACTCATTTGCTCTCCTTACATTTGAACAAAATTACACATTTATTCAGGTTTTAGTACTTTATTTTTTATATCTTCTCTCATTGGATCCTTAAAACAGATTTGTAGGGGCTGGCGCTGTGCTGTAGTGGGTAAAGCCGCCACCTGCAGTGCCGGCATCCCATATGGGTATGGATTTGAGTTCTAGCTGCTCCACTTCCGATCCAGCTCTTTGCTATGGCCTGGGAAAGCAGTAGAGGATGGCCCAAGTCCTTGGATCCCTGTACTCACGTGGGAGACCCAGAGGAAACTCCTGGCTCCTGGTTTCAGATTGGCACAGCTCCGAGCATTGCAGCCAATTGGGGAGTGAACAAGTGATGGAAGACCCTCTCTCTCTGCCTCTCCTTCTCTCTCTGTGTAACTCTGACTTTCAAATATAAATAGATTTTTTTTTAAAGATCTCAGTTGCATTCTCAAATATAGTACATAAAATAAACCAAGCAGGGGCAAACATCAAGGCACAATGCATTAAGCCTCAACTTGGGTCACATGCATTCCATATTAGAGTGCCTGGTTTCAGACCTGGTACCTCCACTTTTGATCCAGCTTTCTGCTAATGCATCCTAGGAAGCAGCAGATGATGGCTCAAGTGCGTGGGCCCCTGACACCCATAGGAGAGACCTGGATGGAGCTCCAGGCTCCTGGCTTTGGCCTGTCCTAGCCCTGGTTGTTGTAGGCACTTGGGAGTGAACCAGCAGATGGAAGATGTCACAGTCTCACTCTCTCACTGTCTCTCTAGCTGCCTTTCAAGTAGATGAAAAGAAATACATAAACAAGCTTAAAAAAAAAAAAACAAGCTAAGCAAAATGAGGCATTTTACACAGCTCCAATTCACTCTAGTGACACTGTACTGATACTGTCTGCAATTAGGACATGGCTAGACAAACATGCCTTCTGTCACAGAGTAACCTTAGTTTAATTGAGAGGCACCTAGGCAGCCAAACCTGCAGAACAGCTGTGGGAGCTGAAACCTAAGCTCACTGATGTTATCAAATGCCTTAGTAAAGTCAACACATTAATTTTTCAAGGTGTTCCTTAATTTGTTCTGTGTCTGTTTTCCGACACAGGTCATATCCTCCAATGTAACTTGTTGCTTGAAATCACTGATTCATTTCTTCTTTCAGTTACGGGGTATTCAGGTTGGGTCAGGCAGTGGGGATGCACAGGTGAGTGTGACACTGACTCAGAGAGCTCACACAGGCCCAGCATGCTAAGTGCATCCTGGAGGAGTTCCTAGGACCACAGGGCTGTGCTATTAGCACCAAATAGTAGGCTCCACCAGAATTTGTTCAGAGATGAGGAGTGATCAAGTGGCCCAGGTCATCAGTTTTGCTCCTATTCTCAAAGATGGTGACGACTTTGACTTTGGATTCTGCATCTGAAAGGAGATAGTTCTCAACTGAAGGCCATTTGTTCCCCAGGGACTATTTGGCAATATCTCGAGATAGAGATACCAAACATCCTACACTCCAATATACAGGGCAGCTCCTCCCAGCTGAGAATTATCTAGCCCACAATGTCAGTAGTGCTGAAGTTGAGAGAAACCATGGTCTACATTATCTTTAAGTTCTTTCTACTTTTAAAAATTTTGTTTTCTGAAACTCCTTGTGTTTTGTGTTTTTTTTTTTTTTTACAGCTTATGCAAGTGTTTAATTAATAGCTTTTTTTTTTTTTCTGAATGGAAGGTCATTTAATAATGTAGTACAATCTTCCATAAAGTCCTGGATCTCCCTTGTAGCATTCCTACCAGGCTGCCAACTAAGTAATGGGAAGCTCACTGCTTCACATCTTGGCAGGAGTCCCTGGGGCTTATTTTAGATACTACTTTCATTATTTTATCTTTTTTAAAAAAAATCATTTTACTTGAAAAGGAGAGACAGAGACAGAGAGAGGTTCCCCAACCGCTGGTTTATGCTCCAAAGTCCACAACAGTCAGAGCTGGGCCAGGCCAGAGCCAGAAGCCAGGCACTCCATCTGAGTCTCCCAAGTGGGTGGCGGGAGCCCAAACACTTGAGCCATCCTCTGTTGCCTTCTGGGATGCATTAGCAGGAAGCTGGGTGAGGAGTGGAGGCACCAGGACTCAATCCAGGACTTTGATGAGATGCAGCTTAACACCCTGGGCTGGAATACCTGCCTCTCTCCAATTTTTTTTTTTTTTTAAACAGGCAGAGTGGATAGTGAGAGAGAGAGAGAGAGAGAGACAGAGAGAAAGGTTTTCCTTTTGCCATTGGTTCACCCTCCAATGGCCGCCACAGCTGGCGCGCTGCGGCTGGCGCACTGGCATACCGCACTGATCCGAAGCCAGGAGCCAGGTGCTTCTCCTGGTCTCCCATGGGGTGCAGGGCCCAAGCACTTGGGCCATCCTCCACTGCACTCCCTGGCCACAGCAGAGAGCTGGCCTGGAAGAGGGGCAACCGGGACAGAATCTGGCGCCCAGACCGGGACTAGAACCCGGTGTGCTGGCACCGCTAGGTGGAGGATTAGCCTATTGAGCCGCGGCGCCGGCTCTCCAAATGTTTTATAAGAGAAGTCTTCAAAACAATTATAGAAAATGAAATGTGTTTTATTAGAAGACAACACATAGATTTAAAAAATTTTGCACCAAAGTAAACATATCATAATTCCCCCTCTCTATGAACTTTTTGTAATACCCTTGTAGGTATTAACTGAGAATACTAATCTCTGGTTTGGGTTTCAATTGTTTTCCCTAAAGTTATTCCATTTTAGATAGACTTGCTCTGGGCAGTGAAATGGTTAATGCGAGTGACAATCAAGAGTGTCAAAGAAAGATCCGGGGAAATCCATAGACTGGATTTTCAGATCCAGAGAATGCCAAAACAGCACTATTTTATAATTTTTAGGCATTTGCATTGCTTTTTATATTCTTCACCTATTTCCGGTTCCTTGGCTTTCCAGTGGGAGAGGAGGGTCATCTGAGCACTTCTCCCAGGAAGCCTGGGAGTACAGAAGTGTCCGGCAGCAAGCTCTGTCCTCTGGGCAAAGCTGCCTGTGGAGGCTGTGCTGCTTTAGTCTTCACTGGCTAAAGGAGAACCTGTGCAAGTGGCAAGTCATTGAGGGCCATCGCAACAGGGCTGGGGCTGATGAGCTGCCCACATTATTCACTCTTGGCTGTGGAATTATAGAGTTCCCAGTTTTTAATCACGACTCTACCATTTACTAGTATTCACTTGTCCATGATCTTTAAATGCTCTAAACCTCAGTTTCTCCATATTTAAAATAGGCACAATAAGGGTATCTACCTCACAGATTTTCTCTAGGGGTTAAATGAGACAGTCATTATGAAGAGCCTGGTTGATGATCCATTATTGGCTATTAAGAGGAACAGTGGGGGTGCTGGTGTCATGGTTGGGCAGAGGCACAGACAGGAGAGAAACATGTCAGTTTCATTGTCCAGACAGAAGCAGCATTCCTCTGAGGGGGAAAGGAGGCTCACTTTGGTTTCTTACATAAAGAACCTTGTTTAGATGCACTCCTCGCCAGAATTCTAGTCTCTGCTCTTGGGGGGCGGGGGGACAGAGACAGAGACAGAGACAGAGACAGAGAGACTAGAACCAAGGTTGTAGGCAAAAGAAAATGCCTCTGTCCTGCTCCTGCTTTCTGAGGTTCCTTCCAAGACTCTACGTTTCATCTCTAAACCACATGAGTTACTCAGAAAGTCAGAGGCATGTCTAGATTGAAAGTGAAGACTGGAAAAGCAGAAAGGAAAACTCACAGCTTCACCATCTCAAAAGTATGTGAACACATTAGTAAATTTAAACTTAAGCCCTTACTGGAATACCATGCTGGGTCAATCTCTACATGGACATGTTCTGGTCAAATATATCTTTCCCCTCAATGGTTCCTTTGAATACAAATGATGATCCGACTCAGAAAGCACCCAGTCTGGACTCACGCTGCCTTGCAAAGTGGTTGTGGCTGCTTCTGGCCTCTTCTTTTGTCCAACCCTTTAGGGCTACACGGGAGTGACATGGTCTTACTCCTTCCTGACAGAGCCTACTGTTTGTGCATTGTGGTGACAAAGCAACTGGAAATCAACCGTGATTGGGAAACTTTGTACTGTGGAGGAGAAGGCTCAGCTTCTAAAGTGCATTCACAACTGCATTCTTAGGTGGCCACCAACCTGGGGTTTCATCAACTGAGTATCTTGGCATAGCCTGCAACTCCCTGGCTACTCACCGAAGTGGTTCCCTTCACAGTGACAGAAGGTTCTACACAGTCATCGCACCTGTGGAAAGAATTTCAAATAATTTATTTCAAGAAGAACTTAGTTTTTTTTTTTTTTACAAGGAGAAAAATCAGCACATTTACCATTACATGTTAATATCTTAAGATATGTTCCTAATTTACTGTAGAAGGATATTTCTTGGTTAGTGCGTCATTGAAAAAAATTTCAGAAAGCTTTTCCTATGATTTTTTGGAATCAATATTTGATTTTTGCCAGTCAGGTAGCCAAGAAAAAATTATATGATTGTGCATTTGTATTTGAGCTTAGCATAAAAACATCACAGCAAAAAAGATCACATTTGTTAAGTGTTTATGTCAGGTACTTGTTCTCATGCTTCAGATATACGTTCACTCACTTAAATGTATCACTCTCCTGAGGGAGATATAAAATGCTTCTAGTTTGTAGACAAGAGATTGCAAGTACAAAAAAGTTAGAATACATGGCCCAAGGTACACAGTTACAAGCTAGAAGTTGGGCACAGGCTATCTGAATCCAGACTCTTCCTTCTTTTTATTTCCTTTTATTTATTTATCTTTAATTGATACATAATTATACACATTTAAGGAGTTCCATGTGATATTTCCATACTTGTATACCTTGTGCAATGCTCAACTCAAGATAAGCCTATCCATGCAAACATTTGTCATTCCTTTGTGGTCAAAACACTTAAAATCCTTTCTTCTAGCTTTTTTGAAATACACAGAACATTGTCATTATCTGTCATCACTTTACTGTGCAACAGACCACCATAACTTATTTTTTCTAATTATACGGCCCTCTTTTTTTTTTTTTTTTAAGATTCATTTATTGGAGGCCAGTATTGTGGCATAGAGGATTAAGCCTCCACCTGTGAAGTTGACATCCATATGGGTGCCGGTTTGAGATCCAGCTGCTCTACTTCCAATCCAGCTCCCTGCTAAAGCACCTGGGAAAGTAGCAAAAGATGGCCCAAGTGCTTGGGTCCCTGCACCCGCATGGGAGACCTGGAAGAAGTTCCTGGCTCCTGGCTTTGGCCTGGCCCAGCCCTAGCAGTGTCACCCATCTTGGGACTGAATCAGTGGTTGGAAGATTCTCTCTCTCTTTCTCTCTCTAAATCATTAGCTTATTTGAAAGGCAGAGTTTCAAAGAGAGAGGGAGAGGAAAGAGAAATAGAGAAATCTTCCATCCTCTGGTTCACTCCTCAAGTGGCAGCAATGGCCATGGTTGGGCCAGGCTGAAGTCAGGAGCCTGGAACTCCATCTGGGTCTCCCACTTGGATGGCAGAGGCCCAAGCATGTGGGCCATCTTCCTCGGCTTTCCCAGGTGCATTAGTAGGGATCTGGACCAGAAGAGGAGTAGCATCAGCACCTGTATAGGATGTTGGCATTGCAGTCTTTTGTTTAACCTGCTGCACAGCAGCCCTAGCCCCAGGGGCCTTCTCTCTTAACCAATATGGTGCACAGACTCTTGCAAATAGGAAACAGATTTTCTGTTTATATTTACTTTAAAGAGCAATTAAGTCAAGATCAGATTTAACAATCTACAAGAAGGTTGTTTACAAGGTAAACCCAATTAAAATTGCTTAAGGATATTTAGTTTTATAAAGATGATTGATTAGCTTATGATGAAACATTTTGGACGTGAACAAGTATGATTTTACTGTTTATTTTACTTCCAAATTCAGAGAGAGAGAGCATGTGAAAAATTTATAAGACCTAGTTCGAAAATTGAGATAGATTTTGGTCTTTTAAATCTATAATCCTATGTTCAGGGATCTCTGAATGTTAGATCAAGATTTTATAGACTATGACTCAGAGCTCTGTCTAAAATCAGGCCCTCTCCTCCACGACAGAATAGCAAAGGGAACCTAGAGTCCGGTGAATTGGGACTCTCAGGTCAGTCAAAAGTGGCAAGGTACAGTTGTCTTTCATTCAAACTCCTACTGCTTTCTGTTTCATGCAAGTTCTGCATAAAACCTAGCAGACTGGTGTGGTGCAGTGGGTTAAGCTGCCACTTGCAATGCTGGCATCCCATATCGGTGTGCTGGTTTGAGCTCTGGCTGCTCTACTTCCAATTTGTCTTCCTGCTAATGCACCTAGGAAAGCAGAGAAGATGGCCTGGATACTTGGGCCCTGCCATCCATGTGGGAGACCCAGATGGAGTTCCTGGCTCCTGGCTTTGGCCTGGCCCAGCCCTGGCTACTGCATCATCTGGGGAGTGAACCACTGGATGGAAGATCTCTGTTTCTTCCTCTCTCTGTTGCTCTTTCAAATAAATAAAAATAAGTAGATAAATAAATCTTTTTTAAAAAACTAAGAGGTCAAATAATTTTGTAGTTTAAAAAACAACTCATTAATAGAGTACCTAAAATGTAATGTATTAGAGTGAAATGGACATTTTGAGATTCGATGATTGTTTACTGCCTTTGTCTCTTCCATTGAGGAACAATTTTTTATTCTCTTCATACTATTTGTTGAACTCTTTTACTTAGTGTAGGATTAACTATACAATCATTAAGTAACCTGAAAACAGATTTTTGTAAAAATAATGAGTGGCCGGCGCCACGGCTCACTAGGCTAATCCTCCACCTGCGGCGCTGGCACCCCAGGTTCTAGTCCTGGTTGGGGCGCCGGATTCTGTCCTGGTTGTTCCTCTTCCAGTCCAGCTCTCTGCTGTGGCCCAGGAAGGCAGTGGAGGACGGCCCAAGTGCTTGGGCCCTGCACCCCATGGGAGACCAGGAGGAAGCACCTGGCTCCTGGCTTTGGATTGGCACAGTGCTGGCCGTAGCGGCCATTTGGGGGGTGAACCAACGGAAGGAAGACCTTTCTCTCTGTCTCTCTCTCTCACTGTCTAACTCTGCCTGTCAAAAATAATAATAATAATAATAATAATAATAATAAAGAATGGGAATGTGAGAGGGAGGAGGAGGGGCTGCAGCATTAATTGAAACGATGATGGGGGAAGTATCACTATGTTCCTAAATATGTATATATGAAATACCTTAAATAAAATTTTAAAAAATAAAAAAACAACAAAAAAACCTCATTTGTATTTTACAGTTTACTGTAAATTCCAAACAGAAATTGAAATTAATGTCATGGACTTTCTTCACATCACTCCAAAATATTACCTCTACTAATAACAGCTACGAGTTAAATACAAGTTGAATATTCTTGAGCCAAAATGCTTGAAATCAGAAGTGTTTAAGATTTCAGGTTTTTTGGACTTTAGAATATTTGCATACACATAATGAGATATCTTAGGGATGGGACTCAAGTCTAACCATGAAATTCATTTACGTTGCTATACATCTCACACATAGCTCGAGGGTAATATTTTTAGTGCTGCTGTGAATGTTCTACTTGAGGTGTCCTGTGAGCACTCAAAAAGTGTCAGATTTTGGCACACACTGGACTCCAGATTTCTGGATTAGAGCTGCTTTTACTTTTTTTTTTTTTTTTTTTATCTTTTATTTAATGAATATAAATTTCCAAAGTACGACTCATGGGTTACAATGGCTTTCCCCCCCATACCGTCCCTCCCACCCACCACCCTCCCCTTTCCCACTCCCTCTCCCCTTCCATTCACATCAAGATTCATTTTCGATTATCTTAGTATACAGAAGATCAGCTTAGTATACCTTAAGTAAGGATTTCAACAGTTTGTTCCCACACAGAAACATAAAGTGAAAAATAATAGATGATTTTTTTTTTAAATGATGATGAAATCAGATCAGACCTATTGTCATGTTTAATCCCAGTGAGAGTCAAGTTGGGAATTGATAGTTTCTTTTCTTTTTCTTTTTTTTTTTTTTTAACAGAAGATCAGTTTAGTGTACATTAAGTAAGATTTCAACAGTTTGCACCCCCATAGAAACACAAAGTGAAATATACTGTTTGAGTACTAGTTATAGCATTAAGCCTCAGTGTACAGCACATTAAGGACAGAGATCCTACATGAGGAGTAAGTGCACAATGACTCCTGTTGTTGACTTTACAAATTGACACTCCTGTTTATGGCATCAGTAATCTCCCTATGCACCAGTCATGAGTTTCCAAGGCTATGGAAGCCCCTTGAGTTCTCCGACTCTTATCTTGTTTAGACAAGGTCATAGTCATAGTGGAGGTTCTCTCCTCCCTTCAGAGAAAGGCACCTCCCTCTTTGAAGACCTGTTCTTTCCACTGGGATCTCACTCACAGAGATCTTTTTGCCAGAGTGTCTTGGCTTTCCATGCCTGAAATACTCTCATGGGCTTTTCAGCCAGATCCGAGTGCCTTTAGGGCTGATTCTGAGGCCAGAGCGCCATTTAGGACATCTGCCATTCTATGAGTCTGCTGAGTATCTCACTTCCCATGTTGGATCACTCTCCCCTTTATTTATTCTATCGGTTAGTGTTAGCAGATACTAGACTTGTTTATGTGCTCCCCTTGACTCTTAGTCCTTTCATTATGATCAATTGTGAACTGAAATTGATCACTTGGAATAGTGAGATGGCATTGGCACATGCCACCTTGATGGGATTGAATTGGAATCCCCTAGTATGTTTCCAACTCTACCAATTGGGGCAAGTCAGCCCGAGCATGCCCCAAATTATACATCTCTTCCCTCTCTTATTCCCACTTTATGTTTAACAGGGATCACATTTCAGTTAATTTTCAACACTTAAGAATAACTGTGTGATAATTACAGAATTAAACCAGTCATATTAAGTAGAACAGACAAAAAAAAAAATACTATGAGGGATAATGTATTAAGTTGTCCATTAGCAGTCAGGGCTATGCTGATCAAGTCACCATTTCTCATAGTGTCCATTTCACTTCAGGAGGTTTCCTTTTTGGTGTTCAGTCAGTTGTCACCGATCAGGGAGAACATATGGTATTTGTCCCTTTGGGACTGGCTTACTTCACTCAGCATGATGTGTTCCAGATTCCTCCATTTTGTTGCAAATGACTGGATTTCGTTGTTTCTTACTGCGGTATAGTATTCTAAAGAATACATATCCCATAATTTCTTTATCCAGTCTACCATTGATGGGCATTTAGGTTGGTTCCAGGTCTTGGCTATTGTGAATTGTGCTGCAATAAACATTAGGGTGCAGACCGCTTTTTTCTTTATCAATTTAAACTCCTTTGGGTAAATTCCAAGGAGTGGGATGGCTGGGTCGAACGGTAGGGTTATATTCAGGTTTCTGAGGAATCTCCAGACTGATTTCCATAGTGGCTTAACCAGTTTGCATTCCACCAACAGTGGGTTAGTGTCCCTTTTCCCCACATCCTCTCCAGCATCTGTTGTTGGTAGATTTCTGTATGTGAGCCATTCTAACCGGGGTGAGGTGAAACCTCATTGTGCTTTTGATTTGCATTTCCCTGAGTGCTAGTGACCTTGAACATTTTTTCATGTGCCTGTTGGCCATTTGGATTTCCTCTTTTGAAAAATGTCTATTGAAGTCCTTGGCCCATCTCTTAAGTGGGTTGTTGGTTTTGTTTTTGTGGAGTTTCTTGATCTCTTTGTAGATTCTGGTTATTAACCCTTTATCTGTTGCATAGTTTGCAAATATTTTTCCCATTCTGTCGGTTGTCTCTTCACTCTCCTGACTGTTTCTTTTGCAGTACAGAAACTTCTCAATTTGATGCAATCCCAATAGTTGATTTTGGCTTTGACTGTCTGTGCCTCCCGGGTCTTTTCCAGAAATTCTTTGCCTGTGCCAATATCTTGAAGGGTTTCTCCAATGTTCTCTAATAACTTCATGGTGTCAGGACGTAGATTTAGGTCTTTAATCCACGTTGAGTGGATTTTTGTGTAAGGTGTAAGGTAGGGGTCTTGCTTCATGCTTCTGCACGTGGAAATCCAGTTTTCCCAGCACCATTTATTGAATAGACTGTCCTTGCTCCAGGAATTAGTTTTAGATCCTTGATCAAATATAAGTTGGCTGTAGATGTTTGGGTTGATTTCTGGTGTTTCAATTCTGTTCCATTGGTCTATCCATCTGTTTCTGTACCAGTACCATGCTGTTTTGATTACAACTGCCCTGTAGTATGTCCTGAAGTCTGGTATTGTGATGCCTCCGGCTTTGTTTTTGTTGTACAAGATTGCTTTAGCTATTCGAGGTCTCTTGTGCCTCCATATGAATTTCAGCATCATTTTTTCTAGATCTGCGAAGAATGTCTTTGGTATCTTGATTGGGATTGCATTGAATCTATAAATTGCTTTTGGGAGAATGGACATTTTGATGATGTTGATTCTTCCAATCCATGAGCATGGAAGATTTTTCCATTTTTTGGTATCCTCTTCTATTTCTTTCTTTAAGGTTTTGTAATTTTCATCGTAGAGATCTTAACGTCCTTGGTTAAGTTTATTCCAAGGTATTTGATTGTTTTTGTAGCTATTGTGAATGGGATTGATCTTAGCAGTTCTTTCTCAGTCATGGCATTACTTGTGTATACAAAGGCTGTTGATTTTTGTGCATTGATTTTATATCCTGCCACTTTGCCAAACTCCTCTATGAGTTCCAATAGTCTCTTAGTAGAGTTCTTTGGATCCTCTAAGTACAGAATCATATCGTCTGCAAAGAGGGATAGTTTGACTTCTTCCTTCTTGATTTGTATTCCTTTGATTTCTTTTTCTTGTCTGATGGCTCTGGCTAAAACTTCCAGAACTATGTTAAATAGCAGTGGTGAGAGTGGGCATCCCTGCCTGGTGCCAGATTTCAGTGGAAATGCTTCCAACTTTTCCCCATTCAATAGGATGCTGGCTGTGGGTTTTTTATAAATTGCTTTGATTATATTGAGGAATGTTCCTTCTATACCCAATTTGCTTAGAGTTTTCATCATGAAAGGGTGTTGAATTTTATCAAATGCTTTCTCTGCATCAATTGAGATAATCATATGGTTTTTCTTCTGCAGTCTGTTAATGTGGTGAATCACATTGATTGATTTGCGAATGTTGAACCATCCCTGCATACCAGGGATGAATCCCACTTGGTCTGGGTGGATGATTTTCCTGATGTGTTGTTGCATTCTATTGGCCAGAATTTTATTGAGGATTTTTGCATCTATGTTCATCAGGGATATTGGTCTGTAATTTTCTTTCAGTGCTGCATCTTTCTCTGGCTTAGGGATTAAGGTGATGCTGGCTTCATAGAAAGAATTTGGGAGGATTCCCTCTTCTTCGATTGTTCTGAATAGTTTGAGAAGAAATGGGATTAGTTCTTCTTTAAATGTCTGGTAGAATTCAGCAGTGAATCCATCTGGTCCTGGGCTTTTCTTTGTTGGGAGGGCCTTTATTACTGTTTCAATTTCTGTTTCAGTTATGGGTCTATTTAGGTTTTCGATGTCTTCATGGTTCAATTTTGGTAGATTGCATGTGTCCAGGAATCTATCCATTTCTGATAGGT